GATTTGCCATGGAAAGTAGGATTTTTGCTAAGATGTATAGCACTCTGACTGTCACAATATAAGACATACCTCTTCTGAATAACGCCAAGTTCACGAAGATATTTCTTCATCCAAAGCAGCTCTTTACAAGCTTCTGTAGCTGCAATGAACTCGGCCTCTGTTGTGGACAACGCAACACATTTCTGAAGCTTAGATTGCCATGAAACAGCTCCCCCTGCAAAGGTAACCAAATAACCAGATGTAGATTTCCTGGTATCAATATCTCCAGCCATATCAGAATCTGTGTAAACATTCAAAACAGGTTTTCCAGTTCCATAACAAAGTTTCAAACTGGATGTGCCTCGGAGATATCTCATAATCCACTTCACTGCATTCCAATGCTCCTTTCCTGGATTAGAAAGGAAGCGGCTAACTGTACCAACTGCATGCGCTAAATCTGGCCTTGTGCAAACCATTGCATACATCAAACTTCCAACTGCAGATGCATAAGGAATACGTCGCATCTCTGCCTTCTCAGCATTATTAGATGGGGACTGTCTAGAGCTAAGCTTAAAGTGTGTAGCAAGAGGTGTGCTCACCACTTTAGCTTTTTCCATATGAAATCGTTGAAGCACCTTTTCAATGTACTTCTCCTGAGACAACCATAACTTTCTTGCTTCTCTGTTACGTGTAATCTGCATGCCAAGAATCTGTTTTGCTGGTCCCAAATCCTTCATAGAAAAAGACTTACTAAGCTCTGTTTTCAACTCTGCAATTCTCGAAGAGTTATGACCAACAATAAGCATATCATCAACATAAAGCAACAAAATAATGAAGTCATTATCAGAGAACTTCTGCACAAAAGCACAATAATCAGAAGTAGTTTTCTTATATCCTTGCTGGATCATCACAGACTCAAACTTCTTGTACCATTGCCTTGGAGCTTGTTTCAAGCCATACAAGCTCTTTTTCAACTTACAAACATAGTTCTCCTTGCCCTTCACCACAAAGCCTTCCGGTTGCTCCATATAAATTTCCTTCCCCAAATCACCATGAAGGAATGCTGTTTTGACATCCATCTGTTCAACTTCCAAGTCAAGGCTGGCTGCAAGACCCAAAACAACTCGAATCGAAGACATCCTCACAACTGGAGAAAATATTTCCTCATAGTCAATACCCTTTTTCTGACTGTAGCCTTTAACCACTAGTCTAGCCTTGTATCGTGGAGACGAAGCACCCTGTTCATTTTTCAACTTATAGATCCA